GGGTTACTGGCCATCACGGCACCAAACTACTAGGGGCGGTTTGGGGGCGTGACAGGTATCACACTGTTGCTCGAGTGACGAGCCATAAGAAACAGGGTTCGCCCAAGCGGAAGGTTTGCTGCTCGAGCTACCGTGCAATTCTTTATAAAACTTCTAGGAGCTTGATTTTTACACTCGAGTGACGCTTTCCTCACTCGATTGGACAAGTTGAATTTTGGAATTTCCAGAACTGTGTTTGAAGTTCAAATACACATTCAAAAGTCCAATTTTGTGCTAAACTCACTCAAACATGCAAGACCACTCCCAAGTACATATTTTTGAAGATGACATCAACCATAGTTCAAAATTCCACGGATTCATCAAACTTTGAACCGAAAACTTTAGATAATTATAGTCCATGTTCTTTATCATGCATTTACAAGCTTTAAGGTTTGCAAAACTCAACAATTCATGCATGTATGTATTAAACACCCCTTAATTAAAATGATCATTAAGGTTTATGCTCAAACATGAGAAATCATTATGAATTCAAGCATGCATGTCTATATTGATCTCAAATTCATCTATTTAAGCTTAATTCATGTAACTAACTTCATATATGCCTTGAATTCACTTAATTACAAACTCTTACTCATGAATTAAGAGTTAATTACTTACCTAGGAGCTTCAATCTTCCAAATTCTAGTTAGTTCTTGAGTTAGTATTCTCAATCTTTAAGCTTTTAGCTCAATTCTTCAAATTTTCCTTCACTCTCTCTCTAGAAGCGTCTCTGTGTGTGTGTGTGTGTATATTCTTGTCATCAGATTTTGAGCTCATGTAATGAGCTTAAACACATTTAGCTTCTATTTATACACTTCCCTAATCAAACTTATTTGAACTAATTAATTGTGCTTAATTTAATCAATTTAATCTAATTAATTCGATCCAAATCAACTTTTAATTAAATTTCACCATAGGCTCTAAAAATTATGCCAACCATAATGGTATAATCAACTTTGTTTTCTGACGCCACTACGGCCCTCAATTTTCAATTTATAGAAGCATACAGGATAGATTTTGCTACAGTGGACATATATAGTTTAAAAAACACATATAATCGTATAATTAGCACGCAAAATCATGTCAAGCACATAATTATGAGCATAATTAAGATTAATTAGCATAACACAGAGTAGGGTTATTACACTCTCCCCCCTTTAGGAAGTTTGGTCCCCTAAACTTATGTTACCTTCCATTGGAAACAAATGTGGGTAGTGTTGTCACATCTCTTTTTCCTTCTCCTACATGGCATCTCTTCTATAATATTCTTTCCATTCCATATTTACCATTGGAATGGATTTGTTCCTCAGTTGCTTTACTTGTCGGTCAATGATCTGTTTTACTCCATATTTTCGTCAAGTGCTATTCGGTGATAGTTAATCACGTGGAACGGGTCTCGAAGATAGCCCCTCAACATTGATACATGGAATACATTGTGCATTTGTTCCATTCTCGGCGGTAAAGCAACTCTATAAGCAACTGGACCAAGCCTTTCTAGGATTTAAAACGACCCAATGTAACGGGGTGATAATTTACCATTTTTACCAAATTTTAATTGGCGTTTCATTGGATTCACACGGATGAACAAATGATAACCAACCTCATATTCAAGGGGCCTTTTTCTGACATCCGCATAACTCTTTTGTCAGCTCTGAGCTGTCTTAAGCCTTTGTTGAATAACTTTGATTTTGTCGGTAGTTGTCTGCACAAATTTAGGTCCAAGTAAGACCCTATCTCCAACTCTAGTTGAGTATATTAGAGATCTATATTTTCAGCCATACAAAGCTTCATACGGCGCCATGCTAATACTGGCGTGGAAACTGTTATTATACGCAAATTAAGCAAATGGTAGGTAAGTCTCCCAACTCTCTTGAAAATCCAAAGCACATATTCTGAGCATATCCTCTAGAGTCTGTATAGTCCGTTCTAATTGTCCATCGATCTGTGGATGGAATGCTATACTAAACCTTAGCTCTGTTCCCATTGTCGCTTGAAGACTTTTCCAAGATCTGGATACAAATTTCGGATCTCTATGCAACACAATAGACACCAGGACTCTGTGTAAACAAACAATTTCATCAACATAAATAGTGGCTAATCTATATGCATCATACATGGTTTTCACAGCTCGAAAATGCGCAGATGTAGTTAGTCTATCAACTATAACCCCAATAAAATCCATACCTTTAGGTGTCCGAGGTAGGCCAACAAAGTCCATGGTTATGTGCTCCCATTTCCATTCCGGAATAGGCGGAGGTTAAAGTAGACCTGCCAGTTTCTGGTGTTCACCTTTAACTTGCTAATATTAAAGATATCTAGACACATATTCTGCAATCTCACGTTTCATATTTGGCCACCAATAACTCTGTTTTAAGTCCTGATACATCTTGTTGTTACCTGAATGCATAACAAACATTGATTTATAGGCTTCATCGAGAATTCTCCTCTTTAACTGAGGGATATTCAGAACACACAATCTGTCTTGGAATTTCAACACTTCATTTGCAACATTATATCCCAGTTTCGGATTTGCTTCAAATTCATCAACTACCTTTTTAAGGAATTCATCATCCTTTTGTTTCTACCTGATCTCATCGATGATTGCTGGTTCGACTGAAATAGCGGCTATCATTCTGCTTTGCTAATGTAATACTACTTTAATCCCTGATTTCTCAAAATCTTACAAGATTTCCTTTTGTTCAGTAAGTAAGCAAGCTAAACTCTCTGTCGATTTTTTGCTCAAGGCATCAACAATTGTATTGCCTTTCTCGAGGTGATACTGAATCTAAAGATCATAATCTCTTATTAGTTCAAGCCATCTTCTCTGCCGCATATTCAACTCTTTCTGAGTAAAGAAGTACTTTAAACTTTTGTGATCCATGTGTACTTCACATTTCGCCCCATACAAGTAATGCCACCAAATTTTCAGAGCAAATACAACTGCGGCCAATTCCAAGTCATGTGTTGGGTAATTTTTCTCATGTGGCCTTAATTGTCGGGAGGCACAAGCAATTACCCGTCCTTCATGCATTAACACATAACCCAAACCTTTATAAGATGCAACACTATAAATGACAAAGTTTTCTATACTCGTGGGCAATGTTAACACTAGTGTAGTAGTCAATCTTGTTTTCAGTTCTTGGAAGGCAGATTCTCTTTCATCATTCCATTCAAATGGTTGTCCTTTGCGTGTCAGTTGGGTAAGAGGTACAACTATTTTTGAAAAATCCTTCACAAACCTTTTGTAGTACCTAGCTAAGCCCATGAAACTACGAACTTCTGTTACATTTGTTGGTGTAGGCCAATTTACAATTGCCTCTATCTTCTGTGGGTCGATCGAAATCCCATCTCTGTTGATGACATGCCCTAAGAAAACAACCTCATCTAACCAGAATTCACATTTCGTAAGTTTAGCAAATAACTTCTTTTCTCTAAGTGTTTGCAAGACAATTCTTAGATGTTGTTCAGGTTCAAGTCTACTCTTTGAATATATCAGAATATCATCAATAAAAACCGCAACAAATTCATCAAGATAAGTTTTGAAAATTCGATTCATAAGGTCCATAAATGCTGTAGATGCATTAGTCACTCCAAACGGCATAACAAGAAATTCATAGTGCCCATACCTCGTTCTAAATGCAGCTTTCTCAACATCTTCTGCCTTTACCTTCAACTGGTGGTATCCAGATCTCAAATCAATTTTAGAAAATACTTGTGATCCCTGCAACTGATCAAACAAGTCGTCAATACGGGGTAAAGGGTATTTATTCTTTATCATTACCTTGTTCAATTCTCGGTAGTCAAGCCACAGGCGTAAAGTCCCATCTTTCTTTTTCACAAATAATACCGATGCACCCCATAGTGAAGTACTTGGTCAGATGAACCCTTTATTAAGTAAGTCCTGCAATTATTCTTTTAGTTCTTTCATTTTAGCAATAGACATTTTGTAGGGGTTTTTGAGATTGGCTAGGTGCATGAGATATCATCAATGGTAAACGCTATTTCTCTGTCAACCAATCCCCCTGGCAGTTCATCAGGAAATACATCCAGAAATTCTCTAACAACAGAAATACTATCCATTTCAACATCCACCGATTATTCAATTAAGATACTACATAAATATCTTCCTAAGCAGTTTATATGCTTTCATTGCTGAAATCAGATAAGGTGGAGGCACTATCTCACTACCCACAAATTCAAATTCAACATGCCCTAGCAGTTTAAACACAACTCGTTTTGTTACACAGTTGATAGTGGCACAATATTTTAACAACCAATCCATACCCAGAATTATATCAAAGTGTCAAATGTCCAAGGGTAACAAATCCACATATAAGATAACATTGCCAATTGGCATATCACAAACACGATACACAGGTACATGGTACAGATTCCCCAGATGGAGCAGACACACATAACAAATATGGCAATGACTCTAGGGGTCTTTTCAATCTAGATGCAAATATAGTAGACACAAATGAATGCATTGAGCCGGAATCAATTAACACAAATGCGTCTTGATTGCATACAAAAATAGTACCTTAGACAATAGCTTCAGTGTTTCGAGTGTCTCTTAGGAGAAGTGCAAAGACTCTCCCTTGTTGCATTGTGTCTCTGGTAGCAACAGGCCTTATGGTGTTGCCCGGTTTTGGAATGGATCCGGTCGAACTAGTAACCGGTCTCCCATTTCTTTGTTGTTTAGTTTGGATGCAATCCCTTGCCATATGCCTCATTTCACCACATTTATAACAAGGCCAGGAAATACGGTAACAAACCCCACGATGCTTCTTACCACATTGAGTACATGTTGGTGCCGTGTTTCTAGTAGAGCCCAAAGTGCTTGAGGACCCCGTGCTTTGTTTCTTTGACGATTTCTTCCCTGAGAAAAAGTCTTGCCTCTTAGCCTTCCAGTCTGCTGGTGGTTTACCTTGGTTGGCCATTTTAATTTCCTACATTAAAGCTCAATCTAGCACATCAACATAAGTGGGCAATTTTAATACATTCACCCTCTCCAGGATGTCACTACGAAGACCATTTTCAAACTTTCTCGCCTTTTTATAGTCGGTGTCAACCATATGTGGAGCGAATCTAGCCAATTCAATGAACTTGGCTTCATACTCAGCTACAGTCATATTGCCTTGCTTTAGTCCTTCAAATTCCAACACCTTTCTATCACAGATACACTGTGGAAAGTATTCTCATAAAAGAGTGCAAGAAACTATACCCAGTCAATGCCTTTGTCAGCATCACGGATTAGTATCCACCACCTTCTTGCTTTATCCTCTAGTGTAAAGGTAGCCAATTGTACTTTCTGTGTCTCCAGGCATGGGAATACTCCAAATAACTTCTCAATACCAAGGACCCAAGCTTCGGCCTTCAATGGGTCCATACCCCCATGGAACGATGGTGGCTTTATTTTCTTGAATTCTTTAGTGAGGGCTATTGTTCGGTCATAATTTTGCAAATCCAGTATAGGTTCTACCGGAGGTAAGGGTTACGAGTGTTTCCATTGCTGTTGCCACTGTTGTTGCCTTAGTGTTTCTGCTATATCTTACATCATTCTCTCCAATTGGTCTAGCCGAGCAGTGAAGGATTCTTTTAGCTCATCGGCTCTTGTTCTCACCATTATCTAATGAGACTTGCATTATAATTCATACAGAAGATATACACAATATTCATGTACAAAAAAGCACATTCATACGATTAGGCAACAATTATATATATCATATAGTTGCATACTTCGAATTACTTAGCAATTTCTCAATGCATTCAAGCATACATTTATCCTATGAATGCAACTTAGATCTTTTCTAGACACCCTATTGCTTATTTGGACAGGTGTGTGAGTTATTACTCGTGCTTTGATACCACTCTATCATGACCTATACCCGCCCCTATGGATTAGAGTCATAGTTGGCCAGTAATCATGAGGTTACCTACGGCCTCAGTCAGAAACCAAATCATATTTAAAAATAGGGGGCGAAATTACGGAAGCAAAATTTACAAAGACTGTGTAGTGAGCTGTGCATACATGGCTTAACCAAAACATTCTCATATATGAAATAACTCACACTATATAAACATACATATTATGCAGTACATAAGTCCAGGATCATTCAAAAGTCAATGTTAACAAAAACCAAGGCTATACACAAATTTGGTCATGCATGACCACAAAAGAACAAAAGGAACAAAACAAAACAAAAGTATAGCCTCTTGCGTGAGGCGACCTTGGTTGACTCCTCAAAACTCGGTTTCACATTGCTCACTGGGGCTGGGGCTGGGGCTGGGGCTGGGGCTGGGGCTAGACATCCCGTTGCTCACCTACATACATATAAATAAAGAGTGAGCTAACGCCCAGTGAATAATACTGAAGTAAATGAGTTGATGAATGAGATTCGTTTAATCATAAGTTATAAATTAAACTTGTTGATCGATATCAACGCTACACGACCTTAGGTCCAACACATCATATATCATATCCATATTCATATACGAAACGACTTCGGGTCCAACTCGTACTTGCAAAATGACCTTTGGTCCCTTATATGCAGAACGACATTGGGTCCAATTCATAGGCAAAATGACCTTCAGTCCAATATATGCGAAACGACCTTGGGTTCATCATATGTAAGACAACCTTGGATCCAATTCAGGTACAAAACGACCTTAGGTCCAACCAATCCATATTCACGTTGTGTGCACTCATGATCCATGATCTTGTTCACATTCGCCTTTGCGTTCAAAACAACCTTAGGTCCAATCATTTCTTTATTCGAAACGGCCTTTGGCCCATTTCACAGTTATACAAAATGGCCTTAGGCCCATTTTATATCCTCTTCAAGTAAACCGAACGACCTTGGGCCCATTTCATAATCATATATCATATATCAATACTTTACATATTTCATTGCAAACCAAGTGGATAGAATACTCATTCACAGTGCCAAATCAGAAGTTTAGAAACTTACCAGACAGGTAACATTTAGAAAATAATGTATACACAAATTATCTTTTACTAAGATATCGCTCACAGTGTTCCGGTGCTTGATTCGTCCTTGCACTTGACCCTACATAATTCATAACACATAGGGTCATAATACTATTCAATCCGTTCTTTAGTTTGCTTAATGTTCTTAGGCTTCTTTTGTGTCCTTTAATTCATTTAGGATGCTCAATATGTGTCTAAGAATACTTAGAAATGGAAGAGAACAGAAATTGGAACATATTACAGCTTTTCAAAAATTGTTAAAACAGGGCACCTCGCTCGAGCGGTATGTAAAACTCTGTAAAAGTACTAGTTATATGAATTTTGTGTTGGAGCGAGGCTTCTGTCGCTCGAGCGACGAGCCATAAGAAACAAGGTTCGCTCGAGCGAAAACTATTGTAGCCAATCTACAAGCATCATAACTAGTCCTTATAGGTAGAAAATGTGCAAATTTAGTCAACCTATCCACAATAACCCAGATAGAGTTAATACCTCTTGGCGTTCGAGGTAGACCAACAACGAAGTCCATGGTTATGAATCCCGCCGACTTTTGATGTTTAGCTTTGACTTGTTGACACTGAAGGCACTTAGACACATATTCTGCAATTTCCTTCTTCATGCTAGGCCACCAATAGCTTTGCTTCAAATTCTAATACATCTTGTTGTTGCCTGGACGCATTGCGAATTTGGACTTGTGAGCTTCTTCCAAATTTCTCTTCTTTAACTCAGGAATATTCGGGGGACACAATATTCCTTGAAATCTCAACACTTCATTTCCAATACTGAACCTCGATTTCGGATTCGATTCGAACTCATTGAACATTCTTTTAAGGAACTCATCCTCTCTTTGCTTCTTTTTAATCTCATCAATGATTGCTAGTTGAGCTGCAATAGCAGCTATCAACCCACCCTGATCATGTAACACTACTTCAATCTTGGATCTTTCTAAGTCTTGCAATATCTCTTTCTATTCAGTTAGTAAACATGCCATGTTGCCCGTTGACTTTCTACTCAAAGCATCGACTACGGTATTAGCTTTACCCAGATGATATTGAATCTGAAGATCATAGTCTTTAATCAACTCGAGCTATCTTCTCTGTAGCATATTCAGTTCTTTCTGAGTGAAAAAGTACTTCAGACTCTTATGATCAGTATAGACTTCACATTTTGCTCCATATAGGTAGTGGTGCCAAATTTTCAAAGCAAACACAACAGCGACCAATTCCAAGTCATGTGTCGGATAGTTATTTTCATGAGGTTTAAGTTGTTGAGATGCATAGGCTATCACTTTACCATTCTACATCAAAACACAACCCAAACCTTTCTAAGAAGCATCATTATAAATCAAAAAAATTTCTGTACCTAAGAGCAATATCAAAATCAATGTTGTAGTCAATCTTATTTTCAGTTTTTGAAATGCAAATTCCTTTTCATCAGTCTATTCAAACAGTTGTCCCTTTTGAGTAAGTTGGGTAAGTGGCACAACAATTTTTGAAAAATCTTTCACAACCCTCCTATAATACCTAACTAATCCCATGAAACTTCGGACTTTTGTCACATTAGTTGGTGTAGGCTAATTTACAATCTCCTCAATCTTTTGTGGGTATACTGAAATTCCATCCTTGTTAATAACATGCCCTAGAAACACAACCTTATCCAACCAGAATTCAAATTTCTTCAATTTAGCACACAATTTCTTTTTCCTAAGTGTTTGCAAAACAGTTCTTAAATGTTGTCCATGTTCTTCTTTACTTCTCGTATAAATCAAGATGTCATCAATATATACTACTACAAATTCATCAAGGTAAGATTTAAAAATTTGGCTCATAAGGTCCATAAATGATGTTGGTGCATTTGTAACTCCAAATGGCATAATCGGAAATTCTTAATGATCATACCTTGTTTGAAATGTAGTTTACTTAACATTTCGGCTTTCATTTTCTGTTAATGATTCTCGGATCTCAAACCAATCTTTAAAAACACTCGTGAACCGTGCAACTAATTAAACAAGTCATCAATACGAGGTAGAGGGTATTTATTCTTGATTGTTACCTTATTCAATTCTCGGTAATCAATGCATAAGCGCAAGGTTCCATTCTTTTTTTTTTTTTTTTCAGAAACAAAACTGGTGCACCCCAAGCCGAAGTACTTGGTCGGATAAAACCCTTGTCAAGCTGTAGACGCGCCCTGGGGGGCCTAGCATGCTACAGTTCGGACTCAATATGTCACGGTTCTGAATCTAATCTCGCAAAGTGCAATGCAAGACTGATAAATCACCAAAGAGTCCAAATCTGGCAAATCGTTTTGGAAAACTGATTTTTAAGAAAGAAGTGCCAAACATGGACTGCATTGCCAAATAAAGAGTCGCCACCTAAATATTTCATTTTTGGGGAATTTAGGAAACCCTGACCCGTTGCCTAAGGCCACGTGTCCGTCATCACCAAAGTTGCCTTGGCTCGGGAACTTGGGTACGATTAGGGAAGGTCATCTATGAGCACCCCCTCTCGCCCGATCCAAAGATCAGCCTGTACTAAACATGATATCTTGTTTTTGGAAACACATGTATTCTTATTTCGGTTAATTAGCTAGAATTTATTATGTAATGCGCACAACACACAAGTATAGACTAGATCGCCTAATTTGGAACAAAGCATCGCATATCCGTTTGTTTGGAAGTGGTTTGAAATTTCCTACTCGCAAGTAGGCTAAATCACGGATTTCAATGAATTGTTCCAATTCAAATAACCCAACCTTCACCCACAGGCACTTAGGCAGTTATATCACATAAGCAATTAGACTCATGGCAAACATGCTATCATGGCAACACTTACACGCATGCAGTATGCTAAAGCATAAATGCTTACCTAGTACTCCGAGCTAAAACAATAGCTAGTTAGTAATCAAATGCATGATCCTAGTTCATATTAACAATGGCTAATGCATCACATGCAAAATGCAACTAGAATAGGCTCGACTAATCTAAGAATGACATGTGAAATGCGACAATTCGATACACATATTCAAGTTGGAATTGAGATACTATGCAATTAGTATGATGCGCCGAGCCCGGTGCGTGCAATAGGAATGAAGGTATGCAAACATGCTATCATAAGTATGCTAATTGAAACATGGCCTAAAACTAACCATTGAAAGCTAATAAGTAAAAGGTAGAAAGACGTGAGGTTGGAAGACATTCACACACGCATGCACGTTAATTACAAAATTCGCCCTCTCGACAGAGGGTCCGAATAAATAATACAAACCAAATAATTAATCAACTACCCTAACTAATTAAATATTACAAAACCCTTAATTAATTAACAAATTAATTATAAAATAATATAAGTATGGATTTAAAGAGGTCGCCGCAGCTCTGCCTTGAAATGATTGGATGATGGATG